GCGCTGGATAAATCATATAAAGCAATGATATTGAGTGTGAGAGGAAAAACCTGGTAAATTATTGGCCTCCTGATTGAAACAGCAACAACAAGAAATATTATTTACACTATTAAGCATGCTCAGGACAAAATATATGTTGACTCTGATCTTATAAATCAGTATTTTTATATCTGATTTTATAATAGTGAGTCAATGGCTACCGAAACAGAAATTAATCAATTTTAAAATAATGTAGTTCTTCTGAAGATTACTCATGACCAAGCTGCTTATCTAGCTGTACCTTTATCTCTCCAGGAAATAATATATTCGGGAAATAATAATATATTACTTCTATGAAAACTAGAAAAGCATCTAGCTCTGATAGCTTTCCTATCAAATGGAAGAAGACATATATCTTTTTGTTTCGCTCCTATATTGCTTGAAAATATATAATGATGCATTTTTGAATGAAGTTCTTCCAATTTATGTTCATACTGTTCAGATGACTGTGATTTTTGAAGGCTAATAAAGATTCTGCTGTTGGGGAATAGGGTAGAGCCTGATTTCTTTGTTAAATGTGGTTGCCAGCAACTCTGGCACTTTGATCGAACATTTTGGGCAACTGGGCATTATAAAAATGAACCTTGAGTAATATTAGTGTTCTAATGTATATATGTTTTTGCTTCCGGGATCATTACCTTGCAATTGGTGAAGGTGCCTATATGTGCAACCACTGGGAATGTACATTCTCAGAAGGGTCACCTGTGATGTGCAAATGAGAAATAAGAACTCAGGCTAAATACAACTCATTAGAAAAGTAAATGGCAAGCCATTCAAGTATTCTGGCAAGAAAACTAAATAAATACTCACAATCAGGACAGTATCAATACCTGACACTGGAAGATGAGGCCTACCAAAAATTGGAAAGCATTATTAGCCTTTTGAAATACATCAGGTCAGGAAACAGACACAAAAGAAATATTTCTTGATAAAATATAGAGACTATACTAATAGCATCTTGGCTGCTTTATAATGTTCCCTCTCTTATACCAAAGAAATTCAAGACAGGACAATCTTAAATTTCTTTCTCATATTTTCTTGCATTCCTAGACTAAGCTCATGTTAGCTATTGATTTTCCTCAAGGTCACCTCTGTGCTCCTCTGTAGGTATTCAATGTGCTACTGGATAGTGGTACTAGGGTTAATCATGTGGCTGGATTAAAGCACATGATATAGTTTCTGAACTCATTGAGACTTATGCTAATGGGAAGAGAAGAAGAAAAATGCAAATTAATCAAAATAGATTTGAGATATAACCATCTTGATAAGCTATCTTTCTTCTCCGGATCAAGGGTTTGCTATCCATTTTGAATAGAACTGATTTTTACTTATATGCCTACTCTGCAAAACACACACATCTACGCCACATAGGCTAACTTCATACTAAACCTAGCTCTTTAGCTAGGTTTACATAGCTTTGCTGGTTGGTATGATCAAAGGCGACAACCTTCTGGCATGCTAACATGCATGTATAAGAAAGGCAACCCAGTTTAAGTAAGACCCAGAACCTGGAACACTATTTTCATATGCGGTGTGATTTTTATTTTTGAACTTTTGGGAAAAAACCAACTTACAAATACAGAAAAATATACAATCATAAATGACATAATAAGAACTGAAGAGCACTTTGTTATGTCCTTCTTAATCTGGTTGATTACAATAATTAAATGTGTCATCACCTTTTTAGCTGCGGGTGTCTTATTTTACCAATAAGCAACAACAGTATTCTAGTTTCAAACAGAGTTGCTGCATTCTCTCTCTTCATTAAATGCAATTTAGAGTTTGTAAGCTTTTGGAATATGGGATATTTGTGAAAATAAACTACCTGGCACTCTGACAACCTTTCTGTGCCAATAGAATGTGGATAACCATATTTACCTTCTTCCCAAATGTTCTAAGCATCATGAATGAAAATAGATATTTGCTCCTCAGATTTCCAGCTAAAAATATCAGTTACATTATAGGTTGCTAAATTCTCTGTCACAGATTTAAAATAGACTTGTCTCATTTTGGCATGCAATAAGACATAATTTCCAAGTATAACCTTAGATGATAGATGAAAGGAGGTAGGTAGATAGATAAATAGTATCAATACAATACAATAGCAGAGTTGGAAGAGATTGATCATTATCTATCTATCTATCTATCATCTATCTATCTATCTATCTATCTATCTATCTATCTATCTATCTATCTATNTGCCTTTTTCCTTTTACATTTTCTTTTCTTTTCATGATGACAGTGGTGAGGCTCTGCCTCCCCTGCCTGCACGTCCCTGGTTTCTGGATGAAATGGATAATCTTGACCCCTATTAATCAGGATTCAGACCTGGATTTGGGATATAAATGGCATTGGTCGTACTTTTGGATGATCTCTGACAGGAGTGGGATGGGGGTAGTACATCCATCCTTGCTCTTCTTGACCTCTCAGTGGCTTTCAATACCATCGACTGTGGTATTTTCCTGGGGTGGCTTTGCGGGGTTGGGAGTGGGAGGCCTTGTGCTATCCTGGTTTACTTCCTTCCTCTGCGACCGCTTTCAGTCAGTGTTGTTAGGAGGGAAGAGATCCAGCACTCATCCACTGCTTTACTGGGTTCCACAGGGCTCAGTACTCTCTCCGCTCCTGTTCAACATTTATATGAAGCCTCCTTCGAATTCCATCTGCCGGCCAATGTCAACTGGCAACTCCTCGGGGGAGGGCCTTCTCTGTGGCTGCTCGGGCCCTCTAGAACGATCTCCCCATGGAGATCCGGACCCTTACTACCCTCTTGGCCTTCCGCAAAGCAGTTAAGACCTGGCTGTTCCGGCAGGCCTGGGGCTGTTGAACTATCCAGCCCCATTCGAGGTTACGGCTGTTGTAGAATTTTAAACTGTTGTTTTATTTTTATTTTTTGTATCCCTTCCCTTTTTATTGTGAGCCGCCCTGAGTCTCTCGGGAATAGGGCAGCATACAAACTTAATAAATACAAATACACTGGGTGAGATCATCTGTCACCATGGACTGAGGTATCACCAATATGCTGATACTCAGATATATGTCTCAGCCTGTGGTGAATTAAGTGATGCTGTGTCCTCCCTCTCACAGTGCCTTGAGGCTGTTAGGGGATGGATGGGAAGCAATGGGTTAAAACAAAACCCTTGCAAGACCAAGTGGCTCTGGGTTTGGGGCTCGTTGGCTCAGGGAGAATTGCTACCTTTGGTCTTGGATGGGGTGGCACTAGTCCAAACAGACCCTGTGCGTGAGTCTAGGGGTTTTCCTAGACTCATGACTCCTGCTCCAAGAGCAGGTGGTGTTCATGGCCAGGAGGGCCTTTGCGTAACTGCGAGTTGTGCACCAGTTACCCCCTTTCTTGGACCAACAGTCCCTACTCATGCCCTAGGACTAGTCACTTCTTGTCTTGACTATTGCAACATGCTGTACATGGGGCTGTCCTTGAAGAGCATCCGGAAGCTCCAGTTGGTGCAAAATATAGCTGCCCGTATGGTTTTATGCAGACCCTGGTGTATCACCTCTCCTGTGGGAGCTGCATTGGTTACCAATTTGCTTCTGGGTGCAATTCAAGGTGTTGGTTGCCACCTTTAAAGCCCTTCATGGCTTGGGACCATGTTATCTGTTATCTCTTGCTGGTCAAATCTACCCAACCCATCAGAGTGGGGAGGCAAGGAATGTTGCTGGTCCCATCCCCGAGGGAGATACACTTGGTAGGATCCAGAAGAAGGCTCTTCTCTGTGGTGACTCCCTCTGGAACATCATTTCCTTAGAGATTAAAATGGCCTGAATCTAATACTCTTCTGGAAGGTGCTGAAGACTTGGTTCTGCCAGCAGGCCTGGGGAACACAGAGCAGGATGGAGCCCATTAAATGGGTTGTGTGATCTGCTGTCACCAGAGCAGGAGTGATTTTGTTATATTTTACTATATTAATTTATTTGATTCCTTTTTAGTTTTTATTGTTTTAAATTTGGTTTTATATTCTGTAAGCCACCTTGAGTTGCCATAGGCAAATAGGCAGCAGTACAAATTCAATAAATAAATAAATAACCACCAAGAAAGAAGTTTATAAATTGAGGGCATTTGCTTGATCTGGTTATATTTTTGCAAGACTCCCCCCAAAAAAACATAGAACATTTGATGAGGAAATTTGATGTGTTTGGCGCTTTAGTGGGTTTTAAAATAAAAAAAGCAGAAAACAACAATGTTGATTAAGAATATATCATCTCAGGACAGTGATATCCTGACCAAAAAGTTGGGTTTTAAGGTTGAGAAAAAGGTGAAGTACTTGTGGGTTATGTTGACAAACACAAATATAAAATTGTTCCAAAATAATTATGTGCCTCTTTGGAAGAATATTAAAAAGCACTTAGAAAGAGGGAGCAAATTCCATTTATCACTATTAGGTAGAATCTTTGTAATTAAGATGAATGTTTTACCAAAGATGTTCTTTCTGTTCCAGGCATTACCACTACTTGCAACTGATAATCCATTTAAACAATGGCAGAGGGGCATTTCCAAGTTGGCAAGGGAAAAAAGCCAAGAATTAGATACAAGTTATTGCAAGATGCTAAGGAAAGATGGGGTTTGAAATTGTATTTTGATGCATGATATGTGGCCTGATTAAAAGAGTGAACCTCCAGAATAAGAGGCTACTTGATTTAGATGGCCATAAATTAAGGTTTGAATGGCACAGTTATCTACGGTATGACAAAGTTAAAGTTAATGTTGATTTCAATAATCACTTTGCTAGACATGTCATATTAAAAGTTTGGAATAAATATAAAACAAGGTTCTCTATGATGTTGCTCTTTGGGTGTCTCCTCAGGAAGCTTTTTAAAGAAAAGGAATGGTGGCGAAGCCAGACTGATGGACTGATGGCAAAATAATATCTTTCAACTTCAGTGACCCTACCCTAAAGTTGAGGTAAGAGCTGAAATTAGAAAGGCTATGTTTGCCACTGGTTTACATATCAACAACTAAAAGAAAGATTTAAACTACACAAAAAGAGTTATGGGTTTGATTTTGTTAAAAATGAATTAGAAATCTTTCTCTGTGGTAGTGATGAACATATTATTGCTAAGATTTATAAAATGTTACTGAAACTGAATTTGGAAAGTGAACATGTAAAACACTGTATGATTCAATGGGCAAGGACCTTTGGATATAATGTGATGCTAGTGATGTTGCACTTGAAAACCATCAGGGATCCTCTGTTAAACCCCCTACAATTTGCATACCAAGCAAATAGATTGACAGATGATGCTGTTAATATGGCTCTGCACTACATCCTACAACATCTTGAATCTCCAAAGACCTACCTAAGGGTCGTCTTGTAGACTTCAGTTCAGCATTCAATACCATCATACCGGACATTCTTCTAACTAAACTAAATCAGCTAGCAGTACTTGAGCACATTTGTAAGTGGATTACAAGCTTCCTAACAGACAGGAAGAAGCAGGGGAAGCTAGGCAATATCACATCAGATACATGTACATTGAGCACATGAGCCCTCCAGGCCTGTGTGCTCTCTCCACTTTTCTTCTCTCTTATATACCAATGACTGCATCTCAAATGATCCATCTGTTAAACTACTGAAGTTTGCAGATGATGCAACAATGATTGGTCTCATTTGAGACAACAATGCATCCACAGATGGGAGGTTGAACAACTAGCCTCGTGGTGCGACCGGAACGATCTGGAACTGAACACACTCAAAACCATAGAAATGGTGATAGACTTTAGGAAAAACTCTACCATACTACCACCTCATACAATACTAGACAACATAGTATCAACAGTAGAGACCTTCAAATTTTTAGGTTCTATCATATCTCAAGACCTAAAATTGTTATCTAACATCAAAAATGCACAACAAAGAATGTTCTTTCTGCACCTATTCACCCAAACCAGTAGTAAAAAAATGCTGTAAAAAGTTTTTAAAAAGGTTCCAATAATCAGCTGTGCCGCACGATCACCAGAATCTTTTTTTTAAACTTTTTAAAAACTTTTTAAAGCATTTTTCTACTACTGGTTCTCCAGAACTGGTAGCTTAAAAATGCTGTAAAAAGTTTTTAAAAAGGTTCCAATAATCAGCTGTGCCGCACGATCACCAGAATCTTTTTTTTAAACTTTTTAAAAACTTTTTAAAGCATTTTTTTTTTACTACCGGTTCAGGCAAACCAGCCTGATCCAGTAGCATTTCACCCTGGGCTAAAGTAATATCTATCTCAAACAAATAAATAGCATGTGGCCTTGATTCAGTGTCTACTGACAGACACATTTCACAATAAAAAAATTACATTTGTCTCCAAATGCCTGGAGTAAAGTTAAACAGATTTTGATTGGCTATTGACATTGCTATTAATCTTGCCACTATATTACACTGCATGAATGGATGTATATATCCTAATACCTTGTCACATCTGTGTAGCTTTCCACATTAGAACACTTAAATTTAGTGTGCCAATATGCCCTGCTGTTGAAGGTGTTCATGGAGATATACTAATATTCTCCATTGAAAGGTTTGATGCATATATTTGGATCCTGAAACCGAATCAGTTGCACATTGGCTGTTCAATTGTCCTATACATCCTTCTTACAGATTGAAGCTAATTCTTCACTAACTATAATTCACATAGGTAAACCCCAACAGGGACTGTGTATTTGTACTAAATTATCAGAATTCAGTTTCCAGAAAAGTGAATCAATTCAGTAGTATAGCAACTGCTGTTAAAAAAAAATCAAGCTTTTCTTGGTTTCTGTTATGAATAGGGCATTTATGCTTGATGTTTTAATTTTTTTTAACAGTATATACACACCACATACACACCATTAAAAGAGACAAAATGAGGCAGAGATAGACAGCCAAAAGGAAAATTGCTTTAATTACAAGTGAATTTATAATAGTTTACCTACCTGTGACTGTGTATGAGTGCATTGACAGCCAAACCATCAGACCAGCTATTGGTAAAATTAAAAACATTGACCTGTGGATAGTTCTGAGTTGATTGACGAACCCAGCTTAACAAGATCTTTTCACTGTTTGTTTGTTGCAGTCCAGCCATGATGCTTTTCATAACATTTTTTACCTAGTTTACAACACAGAATTCCAACATTAGCTATATTTATGAAGTCAACCCACTTCTCTTCCGTAAACCCAGCTTTTTCAATTTCATTTTAGCCATGGGGGAAGGGGGGGAGGTTCAGCCCAATTATTCATCAGGTCTAATGCTCTCTACTGAGAATCTGACAAATTGAAATAAAATAAATTATTTCTACACATTTAGTGCAGTAAAACTATAAGCTGCATGATATTCCAGTGGAAAATTATATTCCAACCAATCCAAGGGTCCGTTTATTATTTCTATGCACAATATCTATATTGTAAAGTGCTGTTCCTTCCTTTGCAGCTAGCTCCAGTCAGTGTAAGGTGCTAGTAATGAACTACAAACTCCTATAAAACATTGGGCTGGGGTACTTGATGAATTTTTCCCCATTTACATCTACAGATCCAATCACTTCTGGCAGAAAGAATATCCACAATGTCATCTAAAAGGATGAACGATAAGAGCCGTTTCTGCCAGAGCATCTTTTCTTTGGAACATCATTATTCTGAGGTTAGACTAGCTCCAGGAGACCCTGAAGATGGTTTTGCCATCTGGCCTGGGGATCTATTGATGTAGTGACACCAAAGTGGTTATATTATTAGAAAAATGAATGGTGATCTCCCAGAGATTATGTTTTTAAACGTTTTAATGTTTTAATGAGTGCTTGTTATTATTATTTTTTGAGGGGGGACTTTTTTATTTTTAGCTTTGTAAGTCACCCAGCATCATGGAAATAAAATGGGCAGTGACATAAATTTAATAATTTATAAATTATAAATAAAGAGCTATATTAGTGTTCTTTGTTTATTACTCATACTTCCTACAGCTCTTCTAGAAATAATCATTTGATACCTGCCAGTGGAGAATTATACTCCAGACCAATCCAAGGGTCAATTTATGATTTCCATCCACAATATCTATACTGCCAATATTTACCAGATCTACCTGTTAGAACAAGACAAAACAGAATAAAAGATAGAAATTAAGAAATATAAATGTTTTTCTTTGCAAGGTAAAAGTAATAAAGCAGAAGCAAATGGGTTTATATTTCCAAGCGAATGGCACAATATATTATTGCTGAATTAATATAATCAGACTTCTAAAAGTCATATTTTTTTAAAATGTATACATTCAGGGTAGTGTCTATGTTTGCATATTTATCTACCATTTAACTTGTAGAGAGGAATAAATCTAAATAAATCTAACAAATATTTGACCATTTGTTGACAGAATGCAAACATTTGAAGTCATTAAAGGAAAATGAAATTGGCAAGGATATAATATATTACAAAATAAACATAAACTTAAATGATTAAATACTTTTTAATAAAATGTTTTGGCAGCATATTGAAAGAAAGCTTGCAGAAACAATTATATTATAGCTCTTTTCATAATATGCATGTTTTTAAAAATCCAGTAATGATAATTCTGAAAGTATAGGAAAGAAATTGAATAATAAAAGTAGAAACAATACATAAGCATTTCATTAATTTGTGATTAATATAAAATATTTATTTTATATCATCTCCCTTGTAAATATTTTGTAGATATTATTTTGCATAAGTGCTCAATCCAGACTACTTCATCTATGATCTCCCATATTTATCTGTCCAAATAGTAGGATTCTATGAGTTGATATATTTCTACAAGTGCCAACTTGTAGTGTCAACATAAAATGTGCAGATTCTCCTTCATTTGAGTCTTCCATTTAATTTTCATACCATTAACTTTCAAAACTCAAACAGCTTGCATACAATTTTGCCCCAAACATTTCCTTAACAGGACTATGTTTCTATATTTCTTTACATTATCATATATAATTAGATGAAGGTTTTCCAAATACTTCATATCTGGATCTATTACTAATTATTCTAACCAAATTATTTTCTTATTTGATCCCTGGGTATTGCCTAACCTATAATTAACACTTCCATTGAGGTTCCTGCTCCATCAATCAGAAACTCACACTTCTCCATTAGAGACAATTTTTTTATCCATTTAGGGCCATGATGGCGAACCTATGGCACACATGCCAGAAATGGCATACAGAGCCAGGCATGCGGAGATGTCGCCTATTGTTCTTCCAGGTTCTGGCGCACTAGCCAGCTGGCCTTCACATGCACAGGGGCACCAGGAACTGAAAGAGCAGCTGCCTGATGCACTTCCGTGTGCCAGGAAGATATTCCAGTTTCTGGCACGCACATGCACGCCGGCCACCTGGTCTTTTGGTTTCTGGTGTGCATGCACACGTAAAGACCAGCTGGCCAGCGCGTATGCATGCACTGGAACTCACAAGGGGAGCAAGAGCAAGGAGAGCAGAGCTGTCAGCCAAGATGGCAGGGCCAGGGCTTCCCTCTCTCCCTGCCCAAGCGGTCTTCTTGCATGGCCCCAGCCTTACAGCCTGCAGGACTGCTGTGCATCCACGGTCTGGAGTGCCTGGCCAGCTCAGGTGAATGGGGTAGCGGGGCAGGGTATGCTGGCTGGCAGGCTGGCCATCCACCCACTGCTCATACCTTTGCGAGGAGACAGAATGTTGGTCTTACCAGAACGTGTCTTTTAGATGATGTGGAGGGAGGGGTCACGGCAGGGTTTTATCACAGCCTGTTTGGTCTGTTAGACTGAGAGAAAACTTCTTAGCCTTCAGCTATCCCATTGGCTCCCAGTTTCCTCGATGGTGAACAGTGTCCTTATCTGTGAACAAAACACACAGAGACCCCAGGAAAGACCTCCTGACCCTCCCCCGGACCCTAACTCAACTAGCTAGGGTGGGAACGTGACCCCTCCCTCCACATCACCTAAAAGACATGTTCAGGTAAGACCAACATTCTTTTTGGTGTAGAGGGAGGGGTCACGGCAGGGACATACCTAAGCTACAGTCCCAGGGAGGGAAGAAGGACCCGGGGGAGGGGCAACTGCCACCCGTTGAAGGACCCTTCTACCGAAGGATGCCTCAGCCGAGGCATAAACGTCCAGCTAGTAGTGATGTATAAATGGAGTCGGAGAGGCCCACGTGGCCGCTCAGCACATGTCTTCAAATGGGGCCCTGGTGGCCCAGGCAGCAGTCGTGGCGGCGCTATGCGTAGAATGGGCGGTGATGCCTGCAGGGGAAGCCTGACCTGATGCTTCATAGGCAGCCATGATGGCCTGTCTCAGCCACCTCCCTATGGTGGATGAAGAAACCCTAGATCGCGTTCACGTTCATGGGATGGATGCGGGCAAAAATTAGGCAGAATAACCTCCTGAGCCCTATGGAATGGGGTATTCACCTTCGGGAGGAATGCGGGATCTAGGCGGAGGATCACTCTGTCATGATGGAACTGACAGAGGTCGTCCCTAGAAGAGAGGGCACCCAACTCGGATATATGCCTGGCTGAGGTGACAGCTACCAGAAACACCACCTTAAGGGTGAATAGGCCCAAATGAACTGTCCTAAGTGGCTTGAACGATTCCCCTGTCAACGCTCTGAAGACCAGCGGGAGATCCCAGATGGGGAATCTATGGACAGGGGGCGGACGGAGGTTTGCAGCCCCTTTCAGAAAGCATTTAATGAGGGGCACATGGGTATGAGAGCCCTCGCCCTCCAAAACCGTGGCTAAGGCAGTCACCTGTCTGTGCAAGGTGTTCTGGGACAGACCATTCTCGAAACCCTTTTGCAGGAATTCCAAGACGACGGAGATAGAGGCTCTGGAAGGATCAAGGTCGTGGCTAGAAACACCACCGCGCAAACGCCTTCCAAGTGGCGTAATAAATTCTGGTGGTGGAAGGCCAACTAGATGCTTCGATAGTGGCAATGACCCCCTCGGACAGATTAATGCTCCTCAGGAGTTGCCGCTCAAGTGCAGGGCAGTCAAGTGGAGCCACTGGGGCTCCGGGTGTACCAGGACGCCCTGACACAAGGTGATTTCCTCCCGAGGTATCCTTCAGGGCGGGGAGACCGACAGTTGGATTAGGTCCACAAACCAAGGTCTCCTGGGCCAGTAGGGGGCAAGTAGGATGACCTGAGCCCATTCCCTGACTATCTTCCTGACCGTCCCGGGAATGAGGGGAATGGGAGGGAATGCATAAAGTAGGCCCGCCGGCCAGTGGCTCCTGAGAGCATCTGTGCCCTCTGCCTCTCGGGACCAGAACCAGGAGAAGAAGCATGGTAGTTGGGCATTTCTGGGTGTGGCAAATGTCCACCACTGGGGTGCCGAACCTCTGGCAGACCTTCAGGAATAGTTCTGGAAAGAGCTGCCACTCTCCATTGTCCAGGGTCACTCGGCTCAACCAGTCTGCTTGGTGATTCGTCTCCCCGGAGATGTGCTCTGCAACTATGGAGGCTAGGTGTCGCTCCGCCCACATCCTCAGCTGTCGGGCCTCCTGCCACAAGGCCTGGGAATGTGTCCCCCCTTGTCGATTTACGTGTGCCTTTGTGGCCACGTTGTCCGTGAGAAGTAGGACGTGTTGGCCCTGAAGTTGACGCCAGAAGTGTCAGAGTGCTAGCCGCGCCACTTTCAGTTCTAGCCAGTTTATATTGTGGCGAAGATCCGCGGCAGACCACGACCCTGGGCCATGTTGGAATCCATTACTGCCCCCCAGCCGAAGAGGCTCGCATCCTTTGTTACGGTTACTCTGTCCAGCTCCCAGAATGAGGCCCCCCCTTTGTACCGCTGGGGATAGCCACTACAGGAGGGATGAGCAGACTTCTGATGTCAGGTGCAAAGTCCGGTTGGAATTGCTCAGGTGCCTCTTTTGGAAGGGGATCAAGGCCCACTGGATGGATGTAGGTGCAGCCTGGCCCAAGGAATATGGAGGATACCATCTTGCCAAGTAGCTGAGACAAGGTCAGGATGGAAATGGACCACCTTCTGCAGACCGAAGCTACTAGTTGGCGAAGACTGGCTAGGCATTCTGAGGAGAGCTGCACTATCCCTGACTCTGCATTTATGATCGTCCCCAGATGAAGGATCTGTGTGGACGGGGGACAGATGGCTTTTCAGGAAATTTACAGAGAACCCCAGGGACTGGAGGCATTGGATGGTGAGCCGGAGACTGCGTATTGCCTGATGGAGGGAACCTGCTTGGACCAACACGTCATCTAGGTAGCATTGGAGTCTCACCGGTTTTGAGCGTAGGTGAGACGCCAATGCCACCAGGACCTTCGTGAAGGTGTGTGGGGCCAAAGCCAGACCGAACGGGAGTGCTTGATACTGGAAGTGGCGTTCTCCGTGGGAGAACCGCAGGTATTTTTGATGTGCCTGTAGTATCGGGATATGTAAGTAGGCCTCTGTCAGATCCATGGAGGCCAGGAAATCCCCCCGGCGGATGCCCTGGAGAATGGTCTTTAGAGATGACATTTTGAACCATCTGTAAACCAGATACTGGTTCAGACATTTGAGGTCCAGGATGGCTCTCCAACCCCCCGAGCTCTTGGGGACCACGAATAGGTGCAAATAGTGACCTTGTCCGCGTTCCCAAGGAGGAACCTCTTCCACTGCCCTGGGAAGAGGTTCCTCCTTGGGAACGTGGACAAGGTCACTATTTGCACCTATTCGTGGTCCCCAAGAGCTCGGGGGGTTGGAGAGCCATCCTGGACCTCAGGTGGCGGCGCTCTGGGTTACTGGATGGAGGGAAGATCTGAAAGAGATTCGGAGGAGTGGAGAGGAATTCCAGCCTCAGGCCATGGCGAACTGTGGCCCTGACCCATGCATCTGTGGTGAATCTGTCCCATTGATCCGCATATAGAGCGAGGCAGCCGCCTATGGGGTGACTAGGGTTCGAGTCATTTCCCCCATTTCCCCTGCAAAAGGGCCGCTTAGATTGTGGGCGGTACCTGCTGTGGCCCTGATAAGTGGCCCACTGGAACTGCCTGTCCTGTCTGAAGGTCTGGAATCTGGCCTGATTATCATGGTCTGGGCCGCTAAACAATGGTCTGTGGTAGGGGTGGGGACGGGATTCCGACTTCGTAGCCGTGGAAAGTAGCACCTTCTTCTTCTCCTTATTCTCTACCAAAATCGGGTCCAGAGCCTCCCTGAAGAGGTTTGGGTCTGTATATGGCACGGTGGCCAGGTTCCATTTGGCCTTATTGTCCATCTGCCAACTTCTCAGCCAGAGCAGGCAGCGAGAAGTGACAGATGTGGCTAGGGTGCTAGAGGAAAACCTGACCTAAAGTGGTGTCAGCAGAATATTATGAGGCTGCCATAATTTTGGTGATGTCCTGATGGAATCGCTCGTCTTCTATCGGGATACGGTTCTGGAGTTGGCACAGCCACATCACTGTAGTACGGTTAAAGTACGATGCTGCGGCTGCAGCCTTAATTGCCCAGGCCGTGACATTAAAATTTTTCCTGAGGGTAAGCTCCGCCCATTTATCTTCGGGCTTCATCTCGTCCACCACGTCCCCTGATACGACCGGGGAAGACGTGACAAGAGCTGCAATCGGAGTGTCGATTGCAGGCAACTGCAGGGCCTGAGCGAATGCCTTCTCCACGTTATAGACACGACGATCATTGCTGCCCGGTGTGAAGAAGTTAGCGGGATGAGACCAAGGCCCTTTGAGTATCTCCAGAAAAAGAGGAGGAGTCGGAATCTCCTCTTTATTGACGGCGGTGTTGGAGAACATCGGTATGTCAGGATCCCTGGGAGGTGGAACAGTGGGATCCCCGGTCCCTATTTTAGTGGTCTTGCGTGCCTTGTGAAGCAAGGTCTTGAACGCTGCGGGTGGAAGAAAGTTAGAGGAGGATGGGGAATCCGGAGTGGAGTCCTCATCATCGGAAAACCCCATATCATTTCAGTTTCCATCACCCCGTGTGGAACCCTCGCTAACTAGGGAAGGAGAGACATCCCTCGACCGAGACCTTGACGAGTAATGAGACT